TATTCTATAAGGACCTCCTTTTATTTTATTTATTTTTAAGGTTCCACATATGAGTGAAATCATGTGGTATTTTCTCTCCCTGCTTGGCTTACTTCACTTAGTATGATGGTCTCCAGTTTTATCTATGTTGCTGCAAATGACAGGATTTAATTTTTTTTTTTTATAGCTGAATAGTATTCCATTGTGTATATATACCACAGGGTTTTTGTTGCTGTTGTTGTTGTTGTTTTAAATCATTTGTTGATGGACATTTAAGTTGATGTGGAGAAAGGGGAACTCTCATGCACTGTCAGTGGAAATGTAAATTAGTACAGCCATTATGGAAAACAGTATGGAGGTTCCTCAAAAATCTAAACATAGAACTACTTTATGACCCAGCAATTGCACTGCTGGGTAGTATACCAAAAGGAAATGAAGTCAGTATTCGAAGAGATACCTGCACTCCCATGTTCATTGCAGCAGTATTCACAATAGCCAGGAGAGGGAATCTGCACTTTTCTTTCTGTCTCTATGAATTTGACCACTCTAGATACTTCATATAAGTGGAATCATACAGTATTTCTCCTTTTGTGACTGGCTTATTTTGCTTAGCATGATGTCCTCAAGGTTCATCCACATTGAGGCACATGTCAAAATTTCCTTCCTTTTAAAGGCTGAATATGTGCCACTGTAGGGATATATACCACATTCTGTTTATCCACTCATCTGTAGTGGACACTTGGGTTGTTCCCACCTTTCGGCTGTTGTGAATAATGCTGCTATGAACATGGGTATATAAATATCTCAAGTCCCTGCTTTCACATCTTCTGGGTATATACTCAGAAGAGGAATTGCTGGATCATGTGGTAATTCTGTTTAATTTTCTGAGGAACCGAAGAAACATTCTTTTTAAGGATGAGGAGGCAAGGTGGCTATGCTTGCTGATGGGTGGGAGGACTCCAAGGAGCCATGGAAGGGATAACCCCTGGAGTGGGCCTTGGAGGAGGGGGTGGTGCTGGATCTGGGAAGAGGGGAAGGAGAGCAGCAGTGATGGCTGAAGCAGAGATGGCGAGAGGGAGGATGCAGGGAGAGCCCTTGGCACCCGAGCACCGCCTGCCCTGCAGTGAGAGGCAGGACGGCAGGCATGGTGAGTTTTGCACGGTTGGGGAGCAGGGACATGCAAAATTGCAGCTGAGCTCAAGTTGGAAACTGGATATTTGTGGTGATACTAAACATCACGGTTTTGAAGTTTTCTCCGGTAAGATGTGGAAATCTGGGAGTGACCTTTTTCTACATGTTGTTGCTAGAAATGAGTGATAGTTGTAATTTTATAAATGCGATGTTGGGCCGACCCCGTGGCTCACTTGGGAGAGTGCGGCGCTGGGAGCGCAGAGGCGCTCCCGCCGCGGGTTCGGGTCCTGTATAGGGATGGCCGGTGCGCTCACTGGCTGAGCGCAGTGTGGGTGACACCAACCCAAGGGTTGTGATCCCCTTACCGGTCACAAAAAAGACAAAAAAAAAAAGCGATGTTAACTCAAGATTATTGCAGAAAATTTTTATGATTAATGCATACTATTCTATTATATACAGAATAAAAAATGTTTTCACTACATATAGGACTGTGCAAAATGACATGCGTGTTAGCTGGCACCAGGCCTAAAAACAAGAAAAGGAATTAGGTCACTGCTATAATAATCATTTAACTTAGCAGAGGTGGTTGTTCAAAAATCACCTTTTTTTTCTCTTTTTTTTTGTCGTCCTTTTTTTTGAGACCAGCTGCACCGCGCTCAGCAAGTGAGCAGTGAGCGCACCAGTCATCCCTATATAGGATCCGAACCCGCGGCGGGAGAGCTGCTGTGCTCCCAGCGTCGCACCCTCCCGAGTGCGCCACGGTCACTTTTTAAGAACTATAGTGTTTAATGATTCCACTTATGGAAAGTTCAAAAATAGGCAAAACTAATCTGTGGTGATACAGATCTTAACTGTGGTTGCCTGGGGGGTGGGAATATACTGAAAAGGGTGCAGGAGAACTTTCAGTGGGATGGAATGTCCCATATCTTGATCAGGCCTTTAGTTTCATGGGTGTGTAGATTTGTCAAGACTCGCAGTATTGTATACTTACAATGTGTGAATGCCACTGTATGTAAATTTTGCCACAGTAAAAAAAATTGTGGCATTAAATAATCCTGTAGTGTTATGTTACCTTCTCAGGGATTTAGATACACCAATGGAAATGAGAATAATTGTGTTTAAGGGATGCTCTTAACACAAAAACCAAACTGACTGCAAAGAAAAATTCTCTGGAGATCTTCTGACTTCACACTTAGTAATATACGGCATGAAGCAGGTACTTGGAAATTAATTTCTGAGGTGGGGTGGGAAGAGGGTGTTTTATGTATTCGTATATATATGTGTGTACATATCTCAGTCTGCTCGTGTGATTACCTGACATGATATGATAAAAAGCACAATTGTGCAATATTTACATGGTGTTATGGGCTGAATGTGTCCCCACCCAATCCATATGTTGAGGTTCCAATCCCCAGTATCTCAGAATGTGATCCTATTTTGAGACAGGGTCTTTAAAGAGGTGTCTACGATAAAATGAGGTCATTAGGGTGGACCCTAAACTAATGTGATTGTGTCCATATAAGAAGAGGAGCGGAGGACACAGACACACACACACAGACCATGTGAGGACACAGGAAAAAGACTACATCTGCAGGCCGAGGAGAGGGTTCAGGAGAGAACAACCCTGCCCATGCCGCGATCTCGACTGACGGCCTCCAGAGCTGTGGACAGCAAACGTGTGTTGTTTAAGCCCCCAGTCCCAGCAAATGTACACATGGCCAGTGAGGGAGACAGAGTAGAGGTGACCGAATTTACAAATGAACAAACAGATGCAGGGCTCCAGGGTGAAAGGTGGTGGCACTCACTCATTTTTCACCAAATCTCATCGATCTTCTTATGGGGAAGAGGTAACTGCTTCCTGGCAACATCTTTCTCAGTCAGGGCGGTTTGTGATATCCTGAAATTGGAAAGGATATAACCACTAAGGTTCTGGTGGCTCAGGAGAGTCCTAAGTGCAAAGTTGACACTCATTTGTTTTATTTCTGTTTTTAATTTTTATTAATATTAAGCTTGTGAGCCTTGAGTTTCTCAGTGTCCGAAGCAGCCATTGGGTGAAGCCTGGGAAAACTGCACCCTCTTTCTGAGCTCTGACCTGCCCAAAGATAGTGACCGAAAAAAACACACACCTTATCGAATCGCTTGTGTATGGAAAACTGTATGTTTATTATGATGGAAAAGCTCTACAGTGAGATACTAAATACTGAAGAACATAAAATGGAAAGTCAGAGTTCCTGCCCTGTCATTTCAGCTCCAGTCCCATTTCCTGGTTTTCAGTGTCAGTTTTTAGATCCTTCGGTTGTTGCCTGCACTAATGTAAATAATATGCATATACTGCTCTTTTTTGATATATTGCTTTTGAAAATAAATTAGACTTCAGGTGTACAAAATGGATCCAGTCTTGATCCTTTTATTCATACACACTCTCACCATTACATGCATGGCCAGCCTTATTAAATGGTTATTATTTTAAATAACTTAAAAAGGACTTACAAAACCCACCATGATAATCAAAGATGGGGCCTTACAATATCCCATCTTCAGCCATATGGTTTTCCTTATTATATCCTCTTACTTCTATTCAAGTTAACCATCCTCTGAATCATATCTAATTCACTCACTTTCCTTTTTATGTAGATATATATTTATCTGTGTATCCTTAAAAGTGTATTTTTATTTCGATTATTTTTACCTGTATAAAAAGGGTCTGTAATCTTCTGGGATTTTTTTCTACTTAGTAAGTACATTGTTAAAGCTTTTCCACATTGTGTGAATTGTTGTAGTTTACTGGTTTTGACGGTGTTATGAATATATGGCACAGCTGATTGATCTGGTTTCCCATGGGTGGACATGTAGGGTGTTTCCAGGTTGTTGCTATTGTGAACAAGGCAGTTAAGGTTGAGGTTAATATTCTTGTACTGATCTCCTGGTGCATGTGTGCAAGGGTTTTCCAGGGTTATATGCCCACAAGTCAGATTCTGGGCATAGGGGCCTGTGGAAGTTCAATGCTAGGAGATAATGCTCAACTCTTTCCCAGAGCAGGCCTTTCTGTTTATACTCTCCCTCCCTCCCTGCTCTCACCTGTGCGTACCTCCATCTCGTGGATCCGTACTCTTTCCAATTCTATCATCAGGCTTTTCCCCAATGAACTAAATATAAGATGATTCTTGGTTTGTATTCTCTGGTTCCAATTCTATCATCAGGCTTTTTCCCAATGAACTAAATATAAGATGATTCTTGGTTTGTATTCTCTGGTTGCTAATGATGGTCACTATCTGTTCATGTAGGCCATAGGGATGCATGGACCTTGAACAGTCTCTTTTGGCCCCTGTTGTTTCCTCATGGTTTTTGTTGTTTACAATTTTTATTTCTTCTCATGGTTATTTTATGGCATTAATAGTACATTTAAAGCTGCCTTTCGTGAGGCACTGTCTGAGGACAGGATCTCTTGAGTCCTCTCTCTACGCGATGTGAGGAAAGTAGGTGGCTGCCCTTCTTCCAGGTCCGCTGCCCTTTACCTCCCACTGCTGCCACCTATGTCGGTGTTTTTAATGGTAGTTCAGGCTGTCATGCTTGTCTATAGGTGGATTCTAGAATTTTAAAACCAACAAACCCCATTTACTGGAGAATGATGGTGTGATTTTTATTTACCATGGAACCAAGTGGTGAGATAGAACTCAGAGGTGGAACGAACCTTTGCTGCTCTCAGAATTATTCAAGTGTCATTGCAGAGTTTCTCCATATTCTTCACCCGGCTTTCCTTAGGTTAACCTCTCATGTAACCGTGGTGCATCTGTCAAAACTAAAAGTGACTAAACTACAGACTTTATTTGGATTTCACTAATTTTTCTACTAATGGCCTTTTTATGTTCAGGGATCCAAACCTGGGTATTTCATTCAATTGTCCTGTCTCTGTAGTCTCCTTTGATCTTTGACAGTTTCTCAGTCTTTCCTTGTTTTTCATGACTTTGACACTCTGAAGAGTACTGTTCAGTATGTTGTAGAACATCCTTCCATTTGGGTTTGTCTGATGTTTTCTCATTATTAGACTGGGGTTATGGGTTTGAGGGAAGAGTACCACAGAGCTGAGGTACCCTTCTCATTGGATTGTATTATGACATTAGCGTGTGACTTATACCGGTCACCTGGTCAAGGTGGTGTCTGCTGGGTCTCTCCTCTGTAAAGTTACCATCTTTCTCCTTCCCATACTCTTAGAAGCCAGTCACTAAGTTCAGCCCACACTGAAGGGGAGCAAGCAGATCAAGCTTCACCTCCTGGAGGAAGGAGTGTCAGAGAATAAGTGGACATATGTTAAAACCACAGTAATTAGTAAATATCCTGGGGGAGATACTTTGAGGCAATGAAGATATCCTGTTCCTCCTTAAAGTTTCTATCACTAATTATATATTCTCGTGTGGATCTTGGCTCAGCAGTTATCACCATGGTGTCCTCATGGTGATTTCCTATTTTCCTCCTTCCTTTCACATTTATTATTTGGAATTCTTCTGTAAGGAGGATTTATCCCTTTCCCCCTACTTATTTATTTGTTCAGTCATTTTTGATACCAATACAGGCTCCTGGATATTTATCTTATTCTTTAGGTTAATCAAACACTGTGGTTATTTATTTTGTTGTTCTAAGTATTCCACCCCCCCCCTTATTTGTTTATTTAGTTTTTAGTACTTCCTATTTCCTACCACTACAAAATGCTTCAGGCTTATATAATTTCCCTGTTGTAGCCCTAGCATCAGCCATTTATCCATCTCTCCTTTTTTTGGAGAATGTTATTAGAAGCCATGATCTGGGTGCAAGATGAGCTCCTTACTACTGGGTGTCGTCACTTCTAGGCCCTTTTAGGGCCCTCTGACCTGTTCCTCTGTCTCGTGGCCTGCATTTGGATGCTCCCATTCCATTTTCCCTTGCTGAGAAATGCATCTGTGACCTTCGTAGGAGCAGTCGCTCGTGGAGGCCTACTCTGTGTCAGGGACTATGCGAAGCACTTCTCCGTGATCTCTGTAGTCTCCACCCCAGGACTATCCCTTTTTTGAAGAAAAAACCACCAAGCTCAGTTCGCGATGTGCAAGTCTAGACAGCGTCCAAGCCCAGAGCCAGGATTTGGATCCAGGTCTGCTGTTGTTCTGCTGCTGTTGTGCTCAAGGCCACTGAGTTCGGCTCTCCAGGGCAGGGCCCTGCAGCTGTATTTTTCAGTTGCTGACTAGGTGATACTTTGGCTTCTTAAATCTGTGTTGAGTTCTTTCGATTTGCACTCCTTGTTTGTATTTAAGTAACGAGACAAATTCCTGCATGCCAAGGTCAGGTCTAAGATGAAGCCTAACCGTGTGGCCACTGAAGGGCTTTTAGAATTGATGTTCAGAACTGGATGGGAACATGAATTTTCCACTATTCAGGAGGACATCCTCTTCTCACTGAAGAGCCAGGGTCTTGATTGGAACTGTCTCACTTAAAAATATTCTGGGAATTCACATCTTGGCTGCGTTGCCAATGAGATTTGCATTTACTTTGGAAATTCAAGCACATTTTATCCAACCTACAGGCACTAATGAAGAGCTAATGAACCACTGAGACACTGGTTCAAATAAATGATTACAATTGACAAGAGAAGTACATACATGACCCTGATGAATGATAATGAAGAGCGAGTGGAAAGGGAAGATTTCGTTAATTATCCAGAATCTAAGTCTATTTTCAGAATTGTGAATAATAATAGAAATTGGAGATAGAATATTATATGAAGTGTTAAGTTACCCTTGAAACAGGCCACTTCATACAGAAGACTGTTTTTAGGACCATCTTTGGCATGTGTGTATTTATTTTTATCTTGAGAGCTGGTTACTTCTCTTAAAATCCAAATCAGCTTATTTTAGTAATTTAAACACTTATTTAATTTTTGCATTTTACAGCTAGTTGCAAAACTATTACAGTTATGTTTTTTTAAATATTGGCCTTTGGCTTATGTACTTGATAGAGAGAGCTTTACAGTCCACTGCAGATTTTAGGCTTTAAGAAGTTATTGTTTACTGGAAAGAATTGCCAGTTCTTTTCAATGAGCTGATTCTCCCTTGGCCTCTTGCAAAGATGGGAGGTGCTGGGAAGCAGCAGGAAAGCCAGGGACATCTTCCCTGGCTTTGGATAGTTAATGAAGTAGGATGTAAAGTTTAAAATAAAATTTAAGATGAAAACAGGAGGTTTTCATGACAGTTTTGTTTGCCTGGCCCCCAGCTCCTGCCCGTTTGTGTCTCCTTGGGCCTTCTGAGTCCTGGGACAGGAGGTTTGGAGTCAGCGGGGAAATAAAGTAAATCTGTTTGGAATTTTGTCTAATGATACAATAGATACCGAAGTAATAATATATTTTAAAGTGTAACATTGTTGGAAATCTCATAATGCTTCAGATATGTTTGAAAAATATTTTCTGCCAAGTAATTAATGTTTAAACTGGTGGATAAGCTATTTATCGATTCCTTTTAATGATTCAGTGTAGAAATCAGTGTTCCCTGTATCTTGTTTTCAAGCTTCTGGATGCATTTAATTTAAGTGTATCCTAAAATTTCTAAGTGAAACCAGTGTGTTTTCAGAATTTTCTTGATATTGGGCAGCCAAAGTTAATACTAGAAGTAAATTATTTTTGTAGGCTATTATGACTTTGGCTGTCCTCTGTAATTCCAATTTCCAACCTTAGTGTTCTCTTGACTGAATATATAATAAATCTTTTAAATCTGAACTTATAAAATGAATCTCTGCTAATAAAACACCATTTTTTTCTGTTTTATATATTGGATTCTGCATAGTAATGTCTTTGGGAAATAAAAGTCCACTTAAAGTTTAAAAGCTATTGGCCCAAGGGACAGCCAGGCACTGCTATATCCCATAAAAAAGTCCACGTCCTCTGGAGGCTGTGCAAAGGCACTTCCTCAGTGATGGAACCCATAGCTCTTTGCACATAGACAAGACCTATGGAATATTGCTGACATGTAGAAGATAATTTGAGTATGTTACCCATGCATTAAACAGCCACATTTTTCTTGTCCAGTTGAATGTCAGGTGTCTTATGATTCCCGACATTATATGGACTGTGACAAATGGTGAGATCTGTGATATCTGAACCTGATTGAATGGCAGCAATTTCACATGCTCTTACCTTGTGAGTGAAATGACCAGTTAGGATGGTTCCATGGACCCACAGGGGCTTCTTATCCTAGATCCCAGATCTAGCTTTGTTGCTATGGCCAATCCAGCACCATCAATACCAAAGGGTTTAATGGCTCCCCAATAGATACATATGCTCTGCTGTCATGTTTGATAAAATTAGGTGAGCAGCCAGGACTTAGGAGGTTCCCAGTATAAAACCTGGAAACTGCAGAGCAAATCAGGACAAGTTGCTCACTGGATGTAATACTTAACATCAACCGCAGTGAGAAAGCATGTCCCATTTATGTTTTGCATATATTTTTAAGCTATATCATCTTGAAAGAAGCTGAGAGCCTTATTTTTTCTCCTCCCATAAGGCTTGATCAGAACCAAAGAACAATTTCTAAAATTGCACTACAAAAATGCTCTGAGGGCTTTCAAAATCATCTGAAAAAAAAAAAAAAGATATTAGCAAACATTAAAGTTAAACAAGCAGTACTGAAAACTTGCCCCAAGCAAGTGCATCATGCAGGATGCACTGTCCTGATAAAATATGCTCCCCATTGCTTGTTCTTGGGAATACCGAGTAGATGTACCTAAATCTGGTCTGGCTGCATCTGTGGGGGATTTCTCCCTTTGAAATTTGCATTATTTCTTTCTGTCTCAGGGTTTACAGACTGAGAAGCCCACCCCTACTCTGGAACTAGCTGAAGAGCACAGAGTGGCTACAGATCTCTGAGCTCACGTTTTTGCTCACTTAAAAACACAAATGCCAGACAAAGGCAGACTTTCCAAAAAGGAAAATGTGAGGGAAAAATTGTTGACAGGAGAAAACAAACTCATGTTTGTCAAGCAGGGTGGAGTAAGTAGGGAACAACCTGGAAAGGGATAGGGAAGAGGGAAAAAACAGGGAAGAATAAAAAACAGGCTGTTCAATACTCGTGAAACAGACCACAGTGAATGGTTTCAGGAAGCAAGTGTCACTGAGTTTAGAGCAGTTTCTCAACCATGGTCACATCTGAGATTCCCTGGGAGGCACGAACTCTCATTCTGAGAAACATAGGTCTTGGAGTCCGCATAAGAGTTGGGCCACATCTGCCGTGCTTTCTTGTTGACTCTTACTAAAATTTCATCTTGAAGTGTTAATTTGCAACACAGGACTTTTTTCACAGTCTCACAAAATGTTTCTCAAATGTTAGATTCTCTGTGCTGCCACCACCCTTGCCCTGCACGGTGTCCTCAGAGCTCAGCTTGAGAAACATGCTTTGAGCTGTAAGGTTTAATTCAAGAGGGAGTAGTTTGGTCATGTGTCTTCAGGTAGAACCCCCTGGAGCAAGATTTTTTCTCTTTTCTTAGCTGTTTATTTGGCAAAGTACTGATGTGTCTTGTGTGCATTTGGACATTCTGCAATGTGTAGCACATGACCCTTTCAGGGACTTTGAATCTTAGTTATGATATGTTGCACAGCTGTGGATTAGCCTGGGACACTGAACAGGTGAAGGGATATTGACGAAAGGCAAGAATGTTGTTTTAATCACACAAATATCCAGTAATCCACAAAACTTCTTATGTGAGGCTTATTTGGGAAGGCTGTGGAAACAATTTACAATGTGGACCTACGCACCAGGGAAACACGTCTTTTTAAAAGGCTTAGTGAATACCAGCCCTATCACAGAACAACCATCTCTTCCAAAGTAGAAACAATGAAATGCACAGGTACTTGCTCATAGATTGCTGGATTCTTCCCGTATGACCCCTTTGAAAGATGATAGGGAATTCTTGAATTCCTAAAAATCAAGATGTATGCTGAAATGGCATGCCGCTTTGGCGGTGGTAGCCTCGTGTTTGTTAGCTCCTTCAGCAGATGTTATAGGTCATCTATTTCTAGGTACCCTTGTACAAA